ACTCGATTGGCAATATCGTTCATCTTCACAACATTCACCTCATTACGGATTATCTGTCTGCTAAGCTGACCGATCATTTGCTTCAAGAACACTAAAAATCAATAGTTCTTTGATTTGATGTTTCGCAACTGTATCTCAACTAGGCAGAGTTCATTATAATCTAATCTAATAGCACCGCTTATTCATGCTTTTACAGTATTATCGAAGCTCTACATACCTTAATGGAAATAAAATATTTCAAGGGAGGCTCTGATTTTGAGAACATATTAGCCATCTTCATATTTCATTACCAACATACGGCATGGGAAACTATTTTTAAGCTTAAAGATCTTAGAGGAAATTCAGAAGAAGAGCTCCACACATTTGAAGTCAGTGCACAGAAGTTGCCCCCATCTTTTTGACTTTTTTTCTCGTTATTCTAAATGGTTTTAAGGAAAGCCGATTTTATAAACACCTATCACGGACCAAGATTTAAGCGCATTACAAAAGAAACTACACTCCGCATCGTTCTCTAACTTTAATGATATATGTGCTTAACTGAATCAATTACTTGATGAAGACCAAACTCACAAGATTTTTGTTGATTTTTCAAGCAATCAGATATCTTATTTGTATCTTCCAACAATGCCACTGCCGTGTAGTAATGCTGATGACAGATGTGAGTTTCAACTTCTCTGATTAACAGGCGGAAGAAGCCAGGACCACGGTTTGTGTGATTCAACATCTAAGTATATGGGAAATTTACTACAGACAGAGCACTTCGAAAGCAATGTCCAGCAGACCTGTTCGGTGAGATTGACAAACTCGGCGCCATCACCATCTCGACTCTTCTCTGACAACAACCAAATAGTTTCCAGAACATCATTTGCAGAGAGTATAAGCCTACGCTGCTCACCCATCACTGTTCGACGAAGCACCTTCAAACAGCTTTTCTCTCTTGTCCTGTGATAGAGTTTATATTTTTATTCACCGCTTCCCCTCTGTTTCTTACACAGCCAATCTTTAGGTGTTTTTTTTTGAGCATTGCTATACAAAGCAGTCCTCCACGAAGATTACCATTAAAACAACTAACTTACGACTTCTGTGCTGACTTAAAGATTTTGCACCTTCTGCCCTGAGCTGCTAGAATTTTGTGTACTGGGCATGTAAACGTGATGACTAAGAATTTATGAGTGACACTGTAAGTGACCAGCAGTTTATGAATTTCTCCGACTTAGATGGA